AGCGTTCACAACGGGAAATTGCAAAAATGTGTAAAGTTTCGCTACCTTTTGTCAGTAAAATCAAACACAAAATGGAAAACGCCATCACTCTTTCTCCAAAAAGGAAAAAATGGAGTGGGTCAAAACGTGAAACCACTTCCAGGACAGACAGAATTATAAGAGATATATGTCTGGAAAATAGAAAAAAAATCATCTCTGTCAAAACTTGTTCAGGAGTATGGAATACAAGTTTCGGAGCGCACAGTGAGGAGACGTCTAATTGAAGTTGGTTTAAAATCACACAAACCGGTTAAAAAACCAAGGCTAACTCCAGCAATGAAAAAAAAGAGATTGCAATGGGCACAAAATCATAAGTATATAACTATTGGAGATTGGGAACGTGTAAGTTTATCCATTTTGAATGAAATATTGTTCAAAAAGTGTTTAAATGTTGACATAAACTTATTTACAACCTCACTATGATGATTTTTTCAGGTGTGTTTTTCAGACGAATCAATTTTTGAGATCTTGTTGGACAAAACCACCTTCGTCCGAAGAAGACCAAACGAAAAATATCAACCAGATTGCATTGTACAAACTATTAAACATATAAATGAAATATTAGAGAAAATATACATATAGATATATAAACTCTATATCTAAATGTATATTTTCTCTTTGGAAAAATAATAAGGAATAGAAAAATTTAGAAAATTTGCTCTGGAATTTGTCAAAAGAGTGTTGCGTTATGCTTTATTTTAAGGTATCTAAATTTATATTCATTAGAAATTTTTGATTTTGTTTTTAAATGGTTTATTCTTTTTCACTACTTTAGATAAACATATACTAACTGACATAACTTCATTTTTATTAACAATGTCTTGCATTGTAGTCTGCATTCTTTGTTACATTTAAAATAATTGATGCTAATAAATGTTGTTTTATAGTTGTTAAAAGTTTGCATATATGTTTGCATCTATATTATGATCAAAGTGAAAATTTTTTTGATAAATACGTGTATGTGGTGATACTACTCAGGTATCACCACAGCTTATCTCTATCAGGTACATTGATTTTCAATTCACATATGATGTTTTTCTTTGTATTTATTTGTTACATTTTTAACTTCAGATTTATGGTGTATTCATTTGCTATAGAAAAACAAATCATTTTGAATTTTTAAAAAATATCTACACCAATCAACATTTAAAGTTCAATGTTGCATATATCATTTTTAAGTAGCTTCTAGGCTTTTTTAATGCTTTCCTTATTCAAGTGGTTTCATAAGCAAAGTCTACAAGCAAATTTGAGATAAAATGTTTTTTAGCTTTCAAGGATTATCAATGTTGTTCTCTGTTTAATTTAATTTGTTTAAATAGAGTAGTTTTAGTAAATAAATGTTTGTTTGTTCTTGGTTTTTTACTTATTTGTTTTCATATTCTTAAGAATTAGGCAACTTAGCGAAACAAGATTTATTATATTTTTTAGTGCAATTGGAAAGAGCGAAAGTGCTTTTTAGTCACTTTAAATTATTTGTTTCTTTTTTTAAATAAAAGGGTTAATAATAAAAATATTTAAACAGTCGAACTGTTACTGATTTGAGTAAGTTAAATGTTTTGTTTAATTTTATATTAGATATATATTTTATGTATTTAACATGAAAAACTGGCTGTATTTTTTGACAGGTAAGTTTATATACATAAATGTGCCTATATATCAAAATATTTAATATTTCTCTGAATCTATACGAATATTATCTCAAAGAAAAAATAAAGAACAGAAAAAATTTGAATATATATACATACATATATATTACTTTAGACTGACATTGCTTCATTTTTTATACAAGATTCTGCATTTATTATTTTTGTGCATTAAGATTGTGCCTGAAGGCTTTCTTAATTTAGCAAAGAATATAGAACACAATGGAAATAGCTTTGCACTGTGTTCTAAATTCTTTGCTAAATTAAAATAATGTCAATAAATTTTGTTTTATATTTTTCAGTTGTAAAAATATAAAACGTTCATTTATTCAGTTGTAACAGTAGTATAATCACTGGTAATATATATTTAATGATAACAGATGTATAATATTAGGCTCTAAGAAGTTATTAGTGTAAATGGTTATAGGTGACTTGAAATTGTTGTCATATAAAAGAAATAAATCTAGGCGTGATAAAATTAATTGTCGTTGAAATATAAGAAATTTTGCTTGATGAACCAAAAACTTACTTGGCAGAATTCAGTGTCAAGCGGTGTTGATGTCTATTATTTGACTTTACATTAGACACTTTAAAATAAAGCAAAGTATGAATTTTACTATTTATAGTAACAAATAATAACAGTTTCAATTTTAAATGATTTTTTTTTTTTTTTTTTTTTTTTTTTCGCAATCGTAAACATAATTATTTTGCTTACTGTTGAAACATGGTTTTAAATTTGTAAATTTAATATGATGTGAAATTTACAATATTAATCATTTGTCAACAGTTAGAGAGAAGCTGGAAATTAATTAAGAAATGCTGGAAATTAACTTTTAGCTAAGGTAAAAATAATTTTGTTTATTGGTATCATAATAAAACCAGTTACTGTTATTTATTGCATGAATTTTTTACTTTTTCTAACATGGTGTTTTTAAAACACTTCCTCTCTCTCTTAGATGAGACTTAAATAAGAATTAGTATTGAGAATTGTAGAGAGAGAATTGATTAAACTCTGTAATTACTGAGCTCTGATTAAACTCTGTAATTACAAAGCCCTTGCGTATTTTTTAATACTGCAATTGATAATTTGCTATTTAAAGATATAATTCTTTAAATTGTCCCTTGGTTGTTCAAATATTATAATAAATAAAATCTTTTTAGTTTCAAGTATTTTCTTTTAGGGATTGTCTATATATTACGTAACGCGAAATTAAACTTAAACAAAAGAAATATCTCGAAGTGTGTTTCTCTGGTCAACTATATGCTGCATTTTTAAGAACTATAACATTTAATAGTTTGTTTTTCAAAATTGATAAACACTTTATTCAAGGTATAGTAGGTAAAAAAATGTTTCATAAATATTGTTATATTTTTTAAAGTTCTTAATTTATATTCTTTAGATTTTCATTTCTAAAATTTACTGTTAAAGGTTTTGAGCACATTTTGTATGTATAACTTTATTTATCATTATTTTTTTTTTTTTTTCATAGTTTTTGGTAAATATATCTATCCTTCAATAGTTGTAAAATATGTTTATACGTGTTGCATAAAGTCATATTTGTTTATAGTTATATATATATATATGTTTAAATTATAAAAGCCAAAACAACAATTTATATCTTAGTTTGGTTTTTTCTTAGTATTGTTAATGCTTTGGTACTTCGAAACAGGTTTTATAGTTACATTTTCGATAAATCTTTAACTGCAATTTCAAAATAGGTTACTATAAATAGGTAAATCGATTTTTGCTAATTGTGTGGTGGTTTTTGTTGATTTTTTTCTTCGTAATTATGATATCATAATTTCATCACTTTTTAATTTTAGAATTACGTTATGACGCATTTATAAGATTTATAAAATAAAAAAACCTGATTTCTTTTTATTGTAAATTTTTGTTAGTTAAAAAGATATAAATATATGCTATTAGTTAATTTTATATTTTATCTATTTTATTATGCCTAATAATTTGTTATACGTATTTTAAGGAGATCTTTGTAAATGGGGGGTCGTATCTAAAAACCTTTAAAAATATGGAGAATATTGTAGTTTTGCGCATTACTATCGAGTTACTAAAGTTTTATTTATGTGTTTAACTAATTAGTTAGCTTAGTCTGTATTTGCAACACTTTTGAGGAAAGAAAGAAAACATTTTTATATAAGTAGATCATTTTTTTACATTTTATTATTTCATTTTATTCACCTGGCCACCATTAAAGCAAAGAGAGGGAAGGAACCTCTTTATTAGAGTCAAAATATTTAGGAAAATTAAATTTCGAGTTACAAAAAGAATTTTTAGTAAATGGTGGCAAATTACCGTTTACTGAAAATTTAATGAAGTAAAGAGGCCAAACAAATAATATAGAAATGGTCTTTGTTGAACAGACTTAACAAGACCCGGGTCGGGTCAGCTTGGTTTACAAATTTTTATGTCTACTTATCTCTTATAATTTTTATTTAAGTTTGTCATATGATGCATTAATGTATTAAAAAATTTGTTATACCCATGTTTGATCGTAAGTTAAATTTTTTTTGTTTGAAAGGTATTTGTGCTCAGTTGCGCAGTTATAATAAACTTTGTTATTTTTTATAAAGTTATCAAATTGTGTGCATTTAACATTTTTAAGTTAACAATTTTCTTTTCTAAAGAACAATTATGCAAGGGGATACCAAAAAATTGATAACTCCTGTATAATATAAGTTAACTTCATTTTAATCTTAATGGTTCGTGTTATAAAAATTATTACAAGGATTTAGTTGACACTTTCGTCAATTTAAAGCATGACCAATGTTATTATTTTGTATCAGTAACTAAAAACGTATTGTGTTAAACTTAGAAAGGTCGATGAAAATGGTTCTGCCATTCACTGTTATGACCTATGCCATTTGTAAATTACTTACATAATGTTAAGTAGTATTTGTAAATGTTAAGCAGTAGTTAGTAAATTATTTTACCTTCTCATAATTTTTACGTTAATTTTACAGATGGATTAATTTTTTCAAGCTGAAGGCGTTTTTCTAAATGGGTATTAGTTAAGGTTTTGCACCATTATATTGTGGAAAACAGCAACTATAAATTAATTATGTAACAGACCGACCAAAACCCGTATTACGGGTTGCCTTTTGCTAGTAATATATATAGAATGTATTTATATATATATATATATATATATATATATATATATATATATATATATATATATATATATATATATATATATATATATATATATATATATATATATGTATGTATATATTTATATATATTACGAAGAGTTGCTTTCGTTTGTAGCGCCTATCATTGTAAAACAAAGAACTACCATGAGAGACCCTGTGAGTCCGAGTGAAAGGCTGGCCGTAACACTTAGATTTTTTGTAACAGGAGATGCTCAGTGTACTATTGCTGCAAGTTACAGAATCAGCGCATCTACTATCAGTAGGATTATTAGTGAGACATGCGCTGCTATCTGGACATCATTGAAAGAGAGAAATTTTCTACATGTCCCATCAGAAAATCAAGAACGGAAAACAATTGCAAAAGAATTTGAAAACATGTGGAATTTTCCGCATGTTAAAGGTGCAATAGATGGCAAGCACATCGTTATGCAAGCTCCTCATATTGGCGGATCAGAGTATTTTAACTATAAGAAAACGCATAGCATAGTTCTTCTAGCTGTTTGTAATGCTACATACCAATTTACTATGGTAGACATTGGCGACTCGGGAAGACAGAGTGATGGTAGCGTTTTTAACAACTGCAGTCTTGGTTATGCAATTGAAAATAATAAATTGAATATTCCTGATCCCGAATATATTGGTAATTCAGAAAAGGTATTACTGTACGTTTTAGTTGCTGACGATGCTTTTGGTTTAAAAAGACACATGATGAAACCATACTCTAATCAAAACATTCCTTTAGATCAAAAAATATTCAACTACAGACTTTCAAGAGCCAGAAGGGTAATATAAAATACATTTGATATTGCTACAACACGCTTTCCAATATTTCGCAGACCAATTATTGCTAATCTTGAAAAAGTCATTTTAATTACACAAGCGATTGTAGCCCTACAAAACTTTCTTATGAAAAAAAGATCAGCAAACAATTATGTCAACTGTCCCACAAATTACACCGGTATCAACAGTCCTGCTTGATTTAGACCAGGTGATTGGAGACAAGATAATTCATGTTCTGCTGCACTACAATCAATGTCACAATCAGGTTCTAACAACTACTCAAAAGATGCAAAGCAAGTTAGAGATGACTTTAAAGAATACTTTAATACACCAGAATGGCAACTAGACTTGGTAAATAGAAACTTGTAATGGTGAACGTATATGTCACTATTTAAACCATGTAGTTTAAGGGTAAATGCTAATAACTATCACTCAAAAAATTGACTTTTTTTCTGGTATTTCTTTAAGGACAAAGTAAATTATGTTAACAATTGATATAGTAAAATTGTAAGACTTTTACCAGGTAGAGCACATATACTTTTAATAATATAATAATAATTTTATTACAACAATACTTAAAATCTTGAACTTCAAAATAATAATTTTTATGTTGATCTAAAGATTGCTTTTTACATATAAATATTTCATAGAAAAGTTAAAATTAAAAGTTTTTAAACTTAATAAATAATTACACCAATGCCAAAAAAACCTGATAATGGAAAAGAAGTCAAAAGTAAGAAGTACATTAAAGATGTTCTTAAAAATAAAAATACATCGATAAAACAAATAAAATATAACAGAAAATTATTATATATATATATATATATATATATATATATATATATATATATATATATATATATATATATATATATATATATATTATAATTATAATTATATATAATTTACTCTAAATCTTTTCATTCTCACCATATTTCATGTTGAAAAGAAGTGTTTTTATCTTTATCATAGCCCGTTTATTTTCTTTTCTTGGAAGTTCTTTCATAATAGGAATAAGGCTTCTACAAAATAGGGTAGTTTCATCTTCCTCAACATCTTCCATTGACTTTTTTAATATATTGTCACACTCTACTAATGATTGTCACAATTGTGACAATGACTCACCTTTTTTTATTTTTTAATCGTGCCTTCTTTTGAATGGGTGATCTGGTATGGCTTAATCTTTTTCGATTTTCAGTTAGAATTAATTCACTTCTAAAACTACTGGTACTTGGACTTCATTGTGTAAAACTGCATTGAGAGTGAAACGATGATGGTGAAGCAGTTTCTGGGACAATATCAACATTAGATTCTGTTGGTTTGTTTGCACTTTTTTCATGCAAAAATGTCATTTGATCAATAGAATTTAACTAAGTTATAGAACGAAAATAGTTATGAAAAGGCATTTTATTTTCTTTATAGACTTTTTATTTGGTCAATAAATAGCTGTGCATTCAACATTATAACTTTGATATTCATTGTGTAGTTCAAAATCTCATGACCTTTGGCTTTTTTTTTCTTTCTGTAACAGCATTTTAAAATGTTTTCTTTTAAATTTCGTGGCTTCTACCGAAGCAGGGCCTGGGGCCTTATTATGTTATTTAACCATTTTCATTGAGCAGAAGCTAACTTTATCTTTATGATTTTTCATAGTGCAATTAGTATGAGTACCTTTAAAAATAAATTATGCGAAGGAGAAAAATTTATTCAAATAGAAAAAGGTTTAGCAAAAATAGGTCATACTAGGAAAACGTTGACGTATGTGAACCTCTTTTAATTGCATCACTTGTATTAGACTTAAAATTTAATGGTCTAAAAAACTCTGAACTTATAGAAACTGCGTTAGAGCTGTTTGTGTTTGCTAATGTTAAAATTTATAGTGTTAAGGGGACAACTCAATGTTTCAAGGCTGATATTTCTGCATTACTTGCCAATAAAAAAGAAGTGGAAAGATTTTTAAATGATTACTGTAAAAGAAATCAAGAAGTCCTAAAGGTTGCGACATCAAGGTATTGAGGTTTTAAATAATACAAATATTTTGTAGTTAAAGATTTGTTGGAAATGATGTCGATAACTGTTTCGACATATAACTAGAGTGATAAGTTATCACAAATTTTTTATGCGAATCTTTTATATGCAATAATTTATTGATTATTCTCATAGGAAACTTGGAATTAAAAGCTCGTTCAGTTTTTATAAAAGGTATCGCTTCCATCGTAAGACCAGATATAATCCGACTTCTAATGCTTCCTCTATTTAAAAAGATAATCCTTTAAGAAGAATTAAAAAACACAGATTGTCCTTATTCCATGACAATTAAAATAAAAAAGAACAAGGATGCATACCCATGTCATATTATTCTTAAATACTGCCACAATCAATCATTAAACTCATTACAAGTGAATAGTTTTAAAGATATATTACCTGAAACAGAAGGAAATGTTTTAACACTTTTTAATAAAGGTTTCACACCAGGTAGGTTTTAACTTCTTCATGGAATGTAAATTATTTTGTTTTTTGCATGTTAAATTTTTATTGACTTTTATAAACAAAATAGGTTCCCGTAATGTGCTAAGTTTTATTTTATGAGTTTCATTTTATGAGCTTGAATATCATCGGTTAAGATCTGATCGTTCAATATGTCCAAAACGACCTGATTTTAACAGGTTATATAACTTATTATATAGAGAAAAATATGGATCTAAAAACGGGAAAGAAATGTTTAAGCATTTAAAAGAAAAAACAGAATTTTGTGTTGATAAATTTCGCAATAGCTCTGTGCATTTCCAACGATACGAAGAAAATGATTTGACAACAATACCGTTAATCTTAGTTATAGTAACGCCCTTAATGAAAAGAGTTCATATCATGGCGAGTACTTTCTTTTTCATTAAACATTAAAGTTTTTATTTTTTAATTCCTATAATTATGTTTTTATATTTTGAACGCTAATTATAGGAAAGCCATTCTTCAGAAATAGTCTTTGTTGCCTCTTCTTTAAATATGGATGCAAACAATCTTAGGGTTTTTCTCCTTTGTGCTCATAGTGTTGCTGGTGCTCTTCCTTTGGGTTTAATAATTTGCAGCGGCGAAAAAACTTACACCTTAATAAAGGCTTTTGAAGCTTAAAAAAATTAATTACCTGAAAATGCTTTTTTAAAAAAAAGACCTATATAGTATTTCATTGACCGCTTTATAAATGTAACTTTAGATGTTGGTGTGTGTGTATTTCCAGTTAATTATTTCTAAGTAAATAATTAAAAAATATTGCAGTTTGACTCTAAGTTATGAATAAACTTATTTGTGACTAAAAAAATAAATAAATTTAAAAATTAAAAAAACATTTTTAAAAGTATTACTACATTTAATGCTTACATACAAGCACAATATTCTAGACAAGGACGAGTAAGAGATATAGAAGTAGAGTCAGTTGCCAGAGAAAAGCTAATAGACAAAGAGAAAGGCTAATGGACAAATAGAATGGCTGGTTGACAAGGAGAAAGACTGATGGATAAAGAAAGTGTTTAGTCAATTTGATCATAAATAATATCAAATAAAGTGCAGTATTCATAAGAAGAGAAACGTGAAAGAACACAGAGAAGGATCATTGTGGAAAAAAATTGCTTGTTACAAACACACATTAAAGTAAGAGTATTCCAACCTGATTTTAAATAAGATAGATGAATTGATATGTTAGTCTATAGCCGGCCAGATAGAGTTACTATTGGCATTTTTGCAAGCCAAAAGGTTTATAGCCAATAATATTTTTATGATAAATAAAAAAAAAACAAATGGATAACAATAAATAATAATTTAATTAACAAACGATATTTCATATTTACAAAAAACTGTATATTTTCAATCTGTCATGCTTAACTTTTGATGATAAACTTCCTTTTGCAATTGGCAAAACTATAAAACCTTGTTTCTTTTTCGAGCTTCTCCGTTATGCTGTTCTTTGACATGTCTTTTTAAATTTACACTTCTGAATCTGGTTTAATTCTCTTTTTTTTATTAATAATTTGCCACCTTGATAGGAAATGTCTTCTTTTTTGTGGTGACTGGCAAGTTTCTTGTAATGTTAAAAATGTTATTTTTCCTATATAAAATTTAAGATAATCAAAGTTAAATTTTATATCAAGAAACAAACTTAGTGATATTTTATGTTGATCATTGATCAATATGCGCTCATCAAAATAAGAGAAAATTTAAACTGATTTTGGTTTGGATAAAGTGTACAAGAAAATTTTTTTTTGTTATATTTATAGGGCATTCTAAAATTGATCTGTCATTTTGATCGTTTAAGACTTGACCCTTCAGCAAACCATTTATTTATAATTACTTTCTATCATTAATTCTATCATTGCATTTTACTTTATAATAATGACTATAAATTTGATATTTAATATTGTAATTTATTGCAGGTTCACAATTTAATCAAATACAAATATATAAAAAAAAATTAAAAAGGTACTCAGTGACAATTTAAGCAAAGAGGATTTATTGGAAGAGGATCTTAGTATTAAATTCAAAAATGCTTCAAGACCAAGACATTAAAAAACCTACCCAAGACCAAGACCATGACTTTAAAAGTTTTTACAAGACCGGGATCAAGGCTAGTTCCTAAAGATGCTCGTAATTTAATGATGACAACTAGGATTGCTACAAACATATTACCAAGCTACGAAAAAAAACTTTTGCAGCTACAAAAAAAGAAACAATTAAAAACCTTTTGCTTTTGTAGTGGTGGTTAGTTACACCTAGAAATACCAGATAGATTGATTGACTTCACCATAAACAAGTATAAAACTCAGGCATTGGACACTGGCTCAAACAAAACATTTGTTACCTCTGAACTTCTTTCAAAATGGAACCTTCCCTACAACACCTCACAGGTGTCACTTGCAGATCACTTTTAACTAAAAGTTAAAAAAGTTTTCCAAGGTTCACACTAATAGGTTAGGAAAAATTCAATGTACAATTTTTTGTTATCGATAAATTGGTAGCTCTTG